GAGAGGTGGTCGACGATGGTCATATTGAGTTTTATGAGATTATAGTATATTAGGTTAAGGACATATTTGGTATAATGAAGATAGAGATTCCATTCCATCAAAATACCATGTAGTTGCTAAGGAATGTTAAAATCCTTTATCCATGGAATTCATAGGAATCTGAAGATTCCTTCCGCTGAAAAGAATGAACCAAACGAAGGAAATGAATCTGGTCAAAGGAATTCAACATTCCAATTCCTTCAGATTCCTCCAGAATCTGCAAACCAAACGCCACCCTTTGGGACTAACAGCTTGCTTAGAGATTCTCATGCTCAAGTATTTACAAATGAAACATTTGAAAAAATGATCTCAATGTTTAACTCTGGCTTAAAACAAATCATTCTGGTATGAGCACGAAGCAAATGGGACTACAAATCCTCTTTTTGGTATTTTCGAAGTTGAAAAACAACTGATTTTTCAAGGAATGACATGGCAGGCTGGTAGCAGGTGAAAACAACTGTCATTTTAGAGTTATGAGTCAGAACAATGTCCTTATCATATTCATTTAGGATTATCAATACGTATAATCTATCTTTCAAGGAAAGTTACAACTTTCTTCGACCATCCGAAATGAAAGTTCAAAGTACCAAATGCTGCGAAAAAAGAATCTATTGGTTTTCTCCCAATTAGTTGCGATATTTTGAATCATCTGGTGAAGAAGGTGGCTCCATAACAGATGGAATCAGAGGCTTTGAACATAGGAAATTTGTTGGGTTTTTAACCCTGTGTGAGAAATACAGTTCAAGCATTTTGTGTTACTCGATGGAACCCAATAGAGATTCGAACACAATTTGCTTAGGTAATATATGAATAACTATTATACTGTAAATTTCAGCATATGTAAGTTATTGTATGTTGTCAAAAGGATGCAACTAACAAGGGTGGTGAAATAAAACATATTTAGGGGGTGTTTGAGATTGCTTATAAAAACAACTTATGAACTTATTCCGGTGTGACACCGGTAATAAGCACTTTTGAAAGTTTGGATAAACAACTTATACCGGTGCCAAACCGGTAATAAGAAGTTTTTGAAGAAGTTAAACTATTATTACTTATAATAAGTTGATAAAGACTTTTGCAAAAAAAAAAAAACATAAGTTGTTTCAAATAAGCAATCCCAAACACCCCCTTAGTTGGAATGTTACATGTTTGATTTCAAGAGGCACATTGTCTAAGCGTTTACATCGACAACGACACCGTTTTAGGACGTATATGGTAAAACCATTGTGAAAAAGGGTGGTTATGTAACAAAAAAAGGAATTGAGGGGTTAAATTGAAAATGTTTTCAAGTTTAAAGGTACCTTGAAGTGGTGATCATTCATACACACCGGCGATAGGCGTACTCCAGCCATCGACTACTATATATAGGAGCCCGCAGGCACTGACTCATCACTCCTTCCCTGTGGGCGTTCTTCCGACCTAAGTGGATCACTCGAAAGCAAATAACACATCAGGAATCTCGTACGAAACCCTAGATGGTAGCGTTTCATATTGCGTCATCCCTAGATCGTAGCGTTTGATATTGTGTGATCCAATTGTATACATATACTCTCTACTTTTGTCATCGTTCTTGTTGTTATTGCTATTGTTTCCAAATAAACAGTTCATTGCTCGTCACTATTCTTTGGTTGAACCAAAACCCTAAGCGTTAAGTCAGTCTTAATCAAGTAAATCAACGAATCATCTTGTGGAGCATGACGGATGCGCAGATAGTTAAACGTGCTAAGTACAAATCTTCTGTTAAAGACCCTGGCGTCCGTGGCATATTGAAAATGGTAAATTTTATCATAAATCCAATTCTCATTGGGATATTATCGAGCTTTTAAGCTCCATACTTTCTTAATGTGATTATTGTTGATTTCTTTGATGAGGGATGGAATCTTGGTTTGTTTATTTATGAATCTTAATGATGCTCTTGTGCAGACCAGGGAGAGATTTGTTTTCATGCCTAACGATCCATCGTTGCCCATCAGGCTTAATGTAGAATTTAGACTTATAAAAGGCAAGTAAAATTACCGTTTGATTGCAGACCGTTGGTCAAATAAAAAGAAATGTAGTTTCTCATTGATCTTTCTTGGTCATTTTCCTTTCATTAGTGCATTGTATTATAACTAAATAAAGATGTTGATTGCTTTCCATCTTTCTCTTTTGTCTTTTTTAAGGACACAAATCCAGCAAGGAGGGTTCAAACAGACCTGCCTTACTTAATCTTACTCAAGATCAGGTTTTTTTCTTCTTTTCCAGTTATTCTGTAACTGTATATCATGTTTTGCTGAACCTTGCAGTTGCAGCTGGTTGTTGTAATTGGTCTATAACATCTGATGTTTCATTCATAGTTTATTTCATCATTTTTGTATGTGAAAGCTGTGTCTGGTGATTAATTCAACAAAGCTTCCACTATGACTTTATATCTCGAATCTTTTATGATTCCAGGGCAATTACATCTTCGAATTTGAAAATTTCTCAGACAGGGAACTTTGCCGAGACTTTGTAGGTAAGGCGCTTTGTTGTTGCCATCATCATTTATTTGTTTTATATTTGCGATTTAAACCTCTCTCATTGTCTTTAGACAGACTTGTCCCAGGACTGAAATCTCACCATAACTAATAAACCAACTTCGTACTCGTTAATGTACAACTATGATTTTAATCAACAAATTTGAGCAAGCTATTAGGTGACATGCTGATGAACTTTAAGGCTTCCTTACATAGTTGATCTCCTATCTTCAATATTTTAGCTTTGCACTTTGTTAACTTGTACCTGCTTCACTAATAACATAATCTTTTAACGAAATAACTACAAGGAAATAGACCAAAAGAGATGGAATGGACTTTTAGTAAAAACTGTAGACGTTTGAAATACATGATTGTGATGTAACAGAACAGTCGAACCAAAATGTATGCTGTCTTACTTCTCTCTCTTGATGCATTTTATGTGAAAAACCTGTCCTTGCATAGAGCTGTTGAGATATCTCATCAATCTATATGTTAACTTGGCACTTGTTAATGTAATATTATGGTTTAAAGTGTCGAGCTTGAGCCAGTTTGAGGTGTCTCTTTGTGGCTTCGTGACATTGTAAACATCACATCTCTTTGTTTCACAAATTTTGCACTTCTTGAAGTTCTAGCCGTCTTACTAGTGGTAGATGCTTACTTCCCTGTATTTCTGCACTTTCTGAAGTCATATTCCACTGGTGATGGACTCTTACTGAGAAGCACTCAAGGGAAATAGAACACAATAAGGTCTGCCATTAATATAACTGAATACTCTTGTACAAAGTAATTTGAATGTAACAGAAGTTATGGAATGGTCAAACAAAGATAATAGTTCCACATGTTCCTTTGCAATTATCACCCTTGGAACTGTCCTTTGTTCTTGGAATATATTATTATACCATTTTTTAACAACTGTTTCTCTACTAATTATGCAATTATTAAATGATTTTTTCATATTAAGAGGTTCTCTGATGATCATTGAACAGCCAAAGCTATTACATCTTCTGGGGAAGTTGGAGGACCTACCTCTGAAAAGGCTGTTCCACTCAAGGATGAACAACTTAGCTCAGCAGAAATGGAGCGTCGAATTAAGTTACTTCAAGAGGACAGGTAGATTTCTGTCTCGGCATTAATTATCTACTTTCATTAAATTTTATCTTTGTTTTCCAGAACAATGAAAACTAGATAACCTTTTGTGAACTTACCTTAAGTTGGCATATTACATATTCTGCTCAATGCCTTTGTTCTCCATTCTTTTGACTGCAAGACCTGTACTAGGAGCTAGTATAAGTATTGAGTAATTGAAATTGGGGATCTGGGATGTCTGACATGAAAACCCTCCATTATGCTTCTAGGAAGATTATCCTCCAGTTATCAAAGTGAACATTTGGTGCTATATCTTAGCCAATCCAAACAACTTTTCTAGAAATTTAGTTTTGTAAATATTGCAGGTTTCTAGGTGGAAATCTTTCATCATGAACAGCTAATGTGGCTACATTACTTGAAAGTGCTGGCATGTTGTTGGTCATCTAGAACATATTTTGTTGACCTTCACCGATATAAAATGGTATGTGAAGCTAGGTTTTTTTTGGGGGGTGGGGGGTTACGAAGAGGTCAATACCATGTGGCAGATATCTTAGCTGTGAGTTACATCTTGCAGTCCTAAGATAAAGCATAATGGGCAAGGGAGGTGGCATATTTTCTCAAACCATGGTTGAACCCTATCATATTATTATTATTACAGGGTTAACCAAGTATTATGAATGCAAGGTAGAGATTAGGTCTGCCTACATCTTACCCTCCTCATGCCCCGCCTTTGGGTGGGATTTACCGGGCTTGTGGTTTGGATAACCAAATATTATTTAGAATGTACTACCATATTTGCAAGGATTCACAGTGGGTTTTATATCCTCATGAATCAGCATAAAATGTCTGGCATTGGGCAGCATCCATGTTGAGGGAAGCTTTTAGGTTGGCAGCATTGAGTCTCGTACTATCCTTGAGCTTTATCTGATCAATCTTTATTCAGGACAAGTCCTATAAGTAATTTGCATGTACTGTGCCTTTGTGATATATTTGGAGCAGCAATTGCAGCTTTATCTTTAAACTGAGATAGGACAAATACACCCTTGTACTAGTGTATCATCCATAACACCATCTCTGTCGTAAAGGCAGTAAAACCCTTTACTCAATATTATAATATTTTTTTGTAGTGAGTTGCAGAAGCTTCATAAGCAATTTGTGATTGGAGGTGTGCTGTCAGAGACCGAATTTTGGGCTACAAGAAAGGTCAGTCCTTGCTGAAATATGATTCAGTGTTATATGCATAGGATGTATCACATAAGGATGTTTTGAAGTTTTTGGAGCCTGCTTATATTATTATCTATATATGCGTGTGCATCCAGTGTTTATTTGTAATACTGGGTTAAACTTGTGCCTTGACATATGTTTTTTGTTGTTGGTAATTTAGTTTACTGTTGGAAAACATGTAACAGAAAATTTACATTTACCAATCAAGTGCAGAAGTTGCTAGATGTGAGTGCCAGCAGAAAAGCAAAACAACGGGTGGGGTTAAAAAGTGACATGATTTTCAATGTGAAACCATCATCTGATGGTCAGGTATGATTCAAATCTTTCTTTCTATACTTTGTGGTTCACATTCAAGCATTGAATATGTCCAAGTCTTCTGTAGAGAAGTTAAGATGTTGGCTTTTGGTTTTAAACTTTAAAAGACTGTTATTCTTGCAACATTTTTCTTGGAGTTATATCATTGTTGCATTTCAATTGTTTTTTTTCAGTCGAACAGAGTCACATTTAACTTGACGCCGGAGATGATTCACCAGGTATCTTCATTTGTTTTCTTTTTGTGGGAACTTACTTAAACGTAGTTTGGGTTTTGTATATTCTTTGAACAAATTGTATCTTTTGCATATAGATGCTTCTATTTTACATGGATGTTATGGGTGTACTATTGTTGTTTTTGAGAGACATGACCCATAAAGCCTTGTGTATATTCACTAGAACCAGGGATACCGAGTTTGTTTGGTGGACTGTATACCAAGATAACCAAATTTATGGCAACTAAAATCTTTCTACTGGAAAGCTGGAGAACCCTCTCTTTATAGTATACATGGAGATGTTGACTATAATTAAGAGATTATTTGTGTGGCCTTTTTTTGAGCACTATATGCAATTAGATAGCTTAGGAGTAGGAAGATTTTGAATAAGAGATGACAATGGTGGTTTGATCAGCCAATTTCACTGTATCTTTCCATATCTTGATGACAATCAGAGTTATTTTATTTGGAAAACATGATGTCTGGTTTTCTTCTCACTCATTTTTTACCTTGAAACTTTTTTCCAGATTTTTGCTGAAAAACCAGCAGTACGGCAGGCATATCTGAATTTTGTACCTAACAAGGTAAGGAGTAAACAGAATGTCAAACATATGTCTGTATTTCAGGCAGTTCACATTCCCAGCCACTTTTTTTGTGCCTCAATTCTAGATGACAGAGAAGGACTTTTGGACTAAATATTGGAGAGCACAATACCTCCACAGTACGAAAAATATTGTTGCTGCTGCTGCAGAGGCTGCCGAAGATGAGGAGCTAGCAGTTTTCTTAAAGCAAGATGCCATATTGGCTAGTGAAACTCGGCAGAAGGTGCTCTGCTCTCTAACTTTGAAGATTGTTATTTCAATTTAACACTAGAATAACCACTGTTTTTGCTTCTTTTGGTCTTCTTTTTCCAGATTAGAAAGGTAGATCCCACCTTGGACATGGAGGCTGATGAAGGGGATGATTACACACATATTCCGGTAACTTGGATATTCAGGATTCTGCATCAATTCAAACAGTTTTTTTTGGTAGTCCTGTTCAGTATGTGTTTGGCAATTGGCATCTATCACAATTTTTACATGACCTTTATGATTTGAAATAGTTCTTGTTACAAACCTAATTTGCTGGCCGTAATGTGCATGCTTCGGAATGTCCATACAAAGATATTCCAAGTGTCTATGTGAGCTTTATGCTGGATGTATTTTTCACCTTTTTATTAGTATACCTGTTGTGGTTTGTGTACTTCTTCACATGTAATTGATTGGAGTACATGAAGATAGAATGGTAAAGTTACTGAACTCTATTTGATTGTTTAAGCTTTTTGGTCAGTTGGTGAACTGTTGACATGTAATTGATAGGGTCATGGCCTAGCTACTGAGAGCACCAAGGATGAAATGGAAGCACAATATGAGCCATATAAAAGATCTTTCTTGCAAGACATTAACCGGCATGCTGCAGTTGTTCTTGAAGGAAGAACCGTAGGTAAGGCTTTCTATTGAACTTTGTTTCATCAGATTCCTCTTGCATCTGAAAAATCTCTTAAAATATGATCCCGTAAACAAAAATGTCTGTGTGGAAAGTGGTTATGATTTAAACTTTAAGGCATTTTCATGTTTCTTGTTGGTCATCTCCGCTTACTGTTTGGTGCCCTCTATCCTCAATTGGCATGACTGCTAAGAAACCTTATTCTAGGTTAACATTTAGTTCGATCGAGTTCTATCTATATCTATCTTCAAATCACAGAAAATGGAAAGAAGAGCGCTTTTGCCAGCTAATCGAGTGCCTTTACTAGAGAGCGATTACTAAACTTACTAATATTCTCAATTGGTATGCTGAATATTATTTGCTTTTTCTTATAAATAAACAGCCATGTCAAGCATAAGGCTGACATTAATAATTTTGACTTCTAAAGTTGAAACTTGGACTCTTTTTCAAATGATCAGTTAGAAATTTCTTATCGAGTAGTAAAAGAACTAAATAATAATTAGTAGGTACCACCATACCCAAATATAGGCTGCTACTAAATCCGAACACATTCCAATCGACATCTCAACATGTACTTAAGACCCAATTTGTACTCCTTGGCTACTAGTTTAATAAAGTATATATAATTTTCTTTTACTTATTATTGGTGCCGATTCTTGTGTTCCTTCTATGAGGTCTGGCGATAAACCTATAAACAATGGATACAAAAGAGTTTTCCCTTATGAACCATCTCTAGTAAATAGAGCACCAAATCTGGTGTTTAGGTTGATTTTATGTTTGGGTTATTTTCCATTGTGATCCCCACTAGCCATTTAGGACAGTCAATCTTCTTGCAGTATGGCTTACGTCCCAATGGGGTAAGAGGGTAATCAGGGTAAGGAGGTACTGGGGTCATGTCTTAGCTGATTCAGTCTTTGGTATTATCACATACGTCCTAATGGGAACATTGGACTTAACCTTGATTTATTGATTTCTGTACTTGATGGGATCTTAACCTTGTCCGTTGACCTGATTGTAGACGTTGAGACAGGAGATACAAGGTCTGTAGCTGAAGCACTTGCTAGTTCAAAACGCAGTGAGTACAGTTGATTCTTTATTTTATCATTTTTGTTTTTCTTTATGTGTTCTTCTGAAATTTGGTGAGAAACAGTTGAGTTGGCTAAAGAAGCTTCTGATGGCAATGTATATCAAGAACGGTTAGATAGGATAACTCGAATGGCTGAGATTGAGGACCTACAAGCACCACGTGATCCTCCAGTTGCACCACTTTGTATAAAGGTTTGGCTTCTAGTATCTTAACAAGAATTGTTTTATTTATTTATTGTCTTACTCTATATTTCTTACAAGTAGATGTTAAACAGGATCCTCGAGATTACTTCGATTCTCAACAAGTTCAGTTAGGTGGAACGAGACAGGTGAAATCTAGGCTGAGCACCTCTGAAGCTTATGGTTCTTTAAGGGTGTTCATCTCGGAGATTAGAAACATAGGTTTGAATGATCCTATAGTTAAACCTGAAGTGGCCATAAAGGTAATTAATTGAACGTTATGATGTTATTATATGCTAGTCAAGATAGAGGGATAAAGTATACTAAATCATGTTGGCTGTGAACCAGGTTTTCAACGTATTGACCCAGAATATATCGAGCTCCAAGTATCAACTTGGCAAAAACCCACATGAGAGCATATTGGATACGTTGCCAAGTGTTACAAAGGAGGAGCTTTTGCTTGTGAGTTTATTTAATATTACCAGTTGACTTTTCTTCTCTTTCTCTTTCTCCTAAGAAAGAAAGACTTTGATTGAATTCTGTCTAAGAAAGGGTTTTGATTTTCCAGCATTGGACGTCAATTCAGGAATTATTAAAGCATTTCTGGTCTTCGTATCCCATTACAACTTCATACCTTTATGCCAAGGTAGTTTCCGTTAGGTTTCATTATGCAACTCTGCTCCATATGTTATTCTTAGTAACTAGATTCGTTCTTATAAAAAAGGATAAGAAAAGCTATATTTGTATAGATGGAACACCCCTTTGTTCTATCTAGAATTTATCTTTATGATAACCTCCATTTCCCTTTGACAAGTACAAGAATTGTTAATGTAGCACAGATCTTTTTTATGTATGCCAACTTGGATGTGTAGGTGAGCCGGCTGAAGGATGCCATGTCGCAAATCTACCCAAAACTACAGGTATTTTTTCTATGCTGAAAGCATTCATTGTGTATGGTACTCTAAGAGCATGTTTGTTAGCAGCTTAATAAGCTTAATGGAACTCACAGCTGATTCGGTCAGTTATACATGACTGTTTAGTAGTGGCTTAATGATATAGAAAGTGGCTTATTCAGTAAGTTTTAGAGGAGAGCTTTATGCAGAAGTCAGATAGCCAAGCTTTTTCCAAACCTGCCCATCCCAATTAAAGTACTCACTCCTTCCATCTAAGAAAAAACCCTTCTAAACATATACAGACATTAATTCACACATCATCTTTATCCATACATGACTTAATGGTAAACAAACCAAACAGCCTCTAAATGATTATATGATTTGATAGTAGTGAGTTAAATTTGAATTGTGAAATGGCAGGAGATCAAAGAATCTGTGCAGTCAGATTCCAGGCATCAAGTTTCCCTCCTTGTTCAACCAATGTTACAGGTTGAGATAATTTCTTTCAAAGAATCCGTTTTTAACTCCACCCGTGCCTTTTTGGGTGAAGTTCGTATCAATCATCATAAAACATTGATTGTTGGTGCAGGCTTTAGATGCTGCGTTTGCACACTACGATCTAGATCAACAGAAGAGATCTGCAAAGAGCGGTGAGAAACCGAATGGATATGCCTGAGTCTATTAAGATTTGATTACTGTACATTGAAGAAAATTTTGCTGTGTTGGTCTAAAAGACCCTTTTTTCATATCATTCCATTCCATTTGTAAAGACACCATATAAATCATGTCATGGGCTGAATTCTGTTTATTTGGAAGAAAAGCTTTGTTTTTATGCTTGTCTTGTCTTCCTCTTCTAAATGCTTGTATGCAATTATTTACTTTGTTTATCTCTCCACTAGTCTAGTCTTGTCTCTCTGGATATTCTATTTTGATATCATGATAAGATGCTCCTATTTATAACAAAATGTTTACTCGATTAAGCGTTTACCAAGTCGCATTATCTTACTGGATGAATATGGCAAGGACCAAGAATCTTACCCGGTAAGAGCGAAAGCAAGGACCGAGAGCCTTACCCGGTAAGTGATGGCGACAACTCTTATCACGGTTAGCGCTTACCGGGTAAATATACATACGATGTCGTTTTGGTAGACTACAATCTTACCCGACAAGTAAGTGATAGCGTTGAATTTTACCGTTGAGCGTTTACGAGGTAAGTGTTTAAGTAAACCACCATTTAGACTCGTCTTTTATTGCTTATTTGGTTGGATGGGTGGAGATGAACATATCCAGACTTTTTTATTTATTTATTTTTACAATTTTTTTTTGTAGTATTATACTTTTTATTTATCATAATATTGTGTTTTAAAAGTACATGAATTCGAATAATCAGGTTATAAGTTAAAAAATGGATTTTTCAAATTAATATCACGATAAAGAAAATACGTTATTGTTTCTTATGTTTTGTTTAGTTAGTTTGTTTTTATACAGTTATCTATAAACGAACAGAGCATATGACTTTAAAACAAGAAGCTTTTAGTGGTATTAGTTCTTATATACCAGCTTCTTCCTAACCATAGGGGAAATCGAACTTTGTGCGTGTGAAATGATTTTACCACGTTATTTGTGATCGATCTGATTGGTTTGTGTAATAATATTGAATTGTTGTCTTTTCTTCCCTACGATAGTTGCTAAACTTGCACACCGCATTGGAGTGCTGCAACATGAAAATTGATAATGAAATGTTTGAAGAGCATAACGACTTTGATAAAAGCCACTCTGGAAAGCATTAGTAGAACACAATTTATAAATGTTCGTGTGATTAAGAACAACGTTTATTAATGAATTGAAAACTATTATTAAGCTTATATTGAGTTCTATTTAGTAACAGAATGCTATAAAAGAACAACTCAAGTTCATATACAGTAACTATTTAGCCTACATTGAGCTCCTATGAGTAAGGGGCTGTTCAGTAGCGGCTTATTGAAGCATATAACATATATGGTTGATTCGCACAACCATACCTTTGTGTTTGGTAAGAGCTTAATCGGTCATATAGGGACTGATTTACTCAGCTGATATACCACATTTCTATCCACTCAGCCATTATTGATATTTATAATACATAGGATATTTTGGTTATAAAACAAAGTATATTTTCCAAATGATGTCAACATCAAATATATTTATGATACAAAGGAGGCTATTAAGCATAAAAACTCAAATTTTCAAACAACATATGTTTTTTTACGAAAGTCCTTATCAAGTTATTATAAGTAAGAATGATTTAACTTCTTCAAAAACTCTTTATTATCGATTTGATATTGGTATAAGTTGTTCATCCAAACACTAAAAAATATTTATTACCAATGCTACACCGAAATAAGTCAATAAATTATTTTTATAAACAATCCTAAACATCCAATATCAAAATCAAATCAAATAAACATAAAAATCGATAGACATGAGTAGATGAGTTAAAAAAAAGCAGGAAATATTGTACTAAAAATAGTAGTATGGGAAAATTGCAGAATGGTCCCATTTTCATGGCGGGGCCGGTCTCCAAAAAGTCATATACCGTCAACCTCCGCCACCTCCTCACTCACCAAAAACACACACACACACTCACACAGAGCGGAGAGGAGAGGAGAGTGTTCATCGGAAACACCCATTTCTAGATCCAAATCACTAAATCTCATTCCATCTTCTTCTTCAGATCTCATTCATTCAATCATTAATTTTATTAATTAATCAAATCCAATCCAGCAGTTGTCATGGCTTCTCCTGGAAATCCGAATCAATTACCATTTGATGTTCCCAGATTCTTCAATCCTTCCTCATCTCCGCCACCAATCACCACCACCACCACCGCCCTCCAAAACCCTAACAAACCATCCCCTGCTTCTGCCTCTGCCTCCTATCCACCACCCACCGTCACCGGCGGTCCTTTCTCTTACCCTCCTCAAACTAACCCTCCTCTATACCACCCTCAATTCAATATTCCACCACCTCCGTTCCAACAACAATCCTCAGATAACCACCTGCCCTCCTCTAACTTACATCATCAGCGATCCGTTCCTTATCCTACACACCCTCTCCAACTCCAATCTCCTTCCCCTAATAACAACCACCACCCTAACACCAACCATGGCGCTCGCCTTATGGCGCTTTTAAGCGCACCGCCGCCTTCTACTCTTGAACCACCATCCATGCCTCCACCTCCAACTCAGAACCTTATGCTTTTGTCATCCTTGCATCCTGGACCTGCACCATTGCCAATGCCAATGCCAATGCCGAGTAGTAAGCTTCCAACTGGACGCCATTTGAATGGTGATCGTCTTGTTTACGATATAGATGTTAGGTTGCCAGGAGAGTTTCAACCTCAGCTTGAGGTCACTCCCATTACCAAGTATGGGTCGGATCCTGGTCTTGTAGTGGGTCGTCAGATTGCTGTGAATAAGACCTATATATGTTATGGATTGAAACAGGGAGCCATTAGGGTTCTTAATATAAACACTGCATTAAGATCACTTCTTAAAGGTCTTGCTCAGGTTTGTTCTTCTCTCCTGCCAGGTTTACTAGATTATTGTGCTCTCTATGCAATTTTAAGTAGACTGTAGATTAAAGGGACTATTGTTTCTTCATTTCTGATTGTTTTTTGTTTTGATGTTCCTCATGATCTCAATATTGCATGAACTATAGCCACCATTCCAATCACTAGCTATTGGAGATAGATCTCTCTGCCATTTCTTTTGTTAGTTGTAACTGAAATTCCACAAAAATACTGTCACCAAGTATCTACTTCCTGAATGGTTGTGAATGCTAAAAACCAAACCAAACCAAACCGAACCGAACCAGTAATTCTCACTAGAAAGTAGAGTCTCGGGTGAGATGTATGGAAACATGACATCTGCTCCAAATAGTAGAGCGACTTTTTCATAAGACTTCCGGCTTGTGCAAATGGTTGTGAATGCTATTTCTGAAATATGTTTCTTGCTGGTGTCAAAATATGCTGTATTTTCTGTTTGTAATACAAGAAAGGACTCTGTTGCTATCAATCTGCTTCTTTTATGGTCATTGATCCATAAAAACATTTTTTTTTGCAGCGGGTTACAGATATGGCTTTCTTTGCAGAGGAAGTTCACCTTTTAGCCAGGTGGGAGCTTCTTCGTTGTTCATCCTCTTCTCTGGTTTTATCTTTGTGTTATGTTGACGAACTTGAAATGCAGCGCGAGTATAGATGGACGAGTTTATGTATGGAAACTCACCGAAAGTCCTGATGAAGATGATAAACCACAGATTAGTAGGAAGATAGTTATTGCCATCCAGATTACTGGAGAAGGAGAATCTGTTCATCCCAGAGTCTGTTGGCACTGCCATAAACAAGTAACTTTCAACAGGGCTGGATTTCATTTCATATAAAAGTTGAGCAGCAGAAGTCTTTACTCAATTGTATAGTTTATGATTGCAGGAAGTTTTAGTGGTTGGAATTGGAAGGCGTATTCTGAAAATCGATACCACTAAGGTTGGGCGAGGTGAAGTATACTCTGCTGAGGAACCTCTCAAGTGTCATGTGGATAAGTTGCTCAATGGAGTTCAGTTTGTTGGTAACCATGATGGGGAAGTGACAGATCTATCAATGTGCCAATGGATGACCACTCGTTTGGTCTCTGCTTCAGTGGATGGAACGGTTAGTTGTCTGATATGTCTCTTTCTAGTATTGGCACTTGCTAAATTATACATATTCAATTAATTATACGTACATGTAAATGTTATATATTAAATGCGGGTACAATTTTGTATATGTATATCGTATTGTTGACTACCTATGCTTCAACTATTTTTTCATATATCTTTTGTTGGTATGTGCTGTGGTTAGTGGTCAATATATCTGTAAACCAAACCAAACGAATCCAGTATATCCCACATAGAGGTAGGTCTTTTTTTTTTTTTGGGGGGGGGGGGGTGTTAAGATGTATGCAAATCTTGCATTTACCGCCAAGAGTAGAGAGGCTGTTTCCGTGAAGGCCCCCGGCTTGCAAAAGAAAAGCAAAAGACATGAGGGATATTCAAGACCGTGTATTCTTTTAATGTGAAGTTATGAAGATCTCTCATGTGCATGCATAGATGTTCAAGGCCGTATGCTATTTGGCTTTAAAACTATGGACTTACAGTAACACAAGATTTTCATTGGCTAATATATTCGTTTATAAATCATTTGAAGGGAATCTCCTATCAATTGATAAAAATGACACTTGATTTTAGAAGTTCCCCACTTGCGGCAAAAATTTATTCTTAATGAAGGAGACCTGACGAGATTTTCGACTCGAGAAGTAATCAATCTGAACCTTTGTTAAAATGAGAGGAATCATACATTTAACATCTACTGTTTTCTTGGTAACTTATAGATTTTGTTGAGATTTTAAGAAATTATCCTTCATTCTTGATTCATATAATCAGAAGCGGGCCAGATGGGAAATCACTCATGATATAAAAATCTATATCAAACTATTTTTAAGTTTCATTGTAAGGAATAGCTTCTAGATCATACCTTCCATAGTTGAATGGAAAGTTTGCCGGGGTCTGTTTATTTGCACCTTAAACTGTAAACTGCAGACTCGCATCATCTGAAGCATTTTGTGTTGAACAGATAAAGATTTGGGAAGATCGCAAGCAATTGCCAATTGCAGTACTGAGGCCACATGATGGCCTACCTGTAAACTCTGTTACATTCTTGACTGCTCCTCATCGTCCAGATCACATCATACTTATCACTGGGGTATGTGCTAAATAATATCAATTTTATCATCATATTACTGTGTTGAATGTGACAATGGAATATGAGATGTTTTTATTCATTCTGATCTTTTGGAAGATGGTGACAGGGTCCATTTAATCATGAAATGAAAATATGGGCCTCGGAAAGTGAGGAAGGATGGCTGCTTCCAAGTGATGCCGACTCATGGCACTGTACTCAGACGTTAGAATTGAAGAATTCTGGTGAACCCAGAGTCGAAGATTCATTCTTTAATCAAGTAGTTGCACTATCTCAAGCTGGTCTTCTTTTACTGGCAAATGCCAAGAAAAAGGCTATATACGCTGTACACCTTGATTATGGTCCCAATCCAGAAATGACGCGTATGGATTATATTGCTGAGTTTACTGTCACTATGCCAATACTGAGTCTTACGGGCACCAGCGATTCATTACCACATGGGGAGCAGATTATTCAAGTTTATTGCGTTCAGACGCAAGCCATTCAACAATATGCTTTGGATTTGTCAAGATGTTTACCACCTCCTATTGACGGTGTCGTGTATGAGAAATCAGAATCGATTTTTTCACATGATGTGGTGAGTGCTGAAGGTTTCACTGGTTTGGAGTCCAGCATGGGACCTAGTTCTGAGAGTGCACCCACACTGAGACAGCCCTTAAGTTCGCCTTTGGCTGAGGCTGTCATTTCTAAGGAATTTTCTACATCAGCCGTTGAACCTAGATCCGCCCCACCTCCTATCAGTAATGATGCTGATATTTCTTGTGCTGTATCACCGCAGGTTCCATTAAGTCCTAGATTGTCTCGAAAACTGTCCAATTTTAGAACACCATCTGGTGGGTTCGAGTCTAGTGCCCAACCAAATGATTACGGAGATAAAAAAGTAATTGAACATTCAGTTGATAGGCAAATGGAGACTGCTCATTCAAACCTATCTAGTCTATCTTCTATGGATGATGATGAAAACAAAGTTGCAAAAGATGATGGTACGATGGTCAAGTTTAAGCACCCAACTCATCTAGTTACTCCTGCTGAATTGATGGCAATGACCACATCGCCGTCTGAACGAAATCGTGTTAGAGATCAGAAGAGTGATGGGGAGCTGGAAGTACAAGATGTTGAAGTGAACTCTGATCTGCAGAATGTTGATATGGATGTCAAGATCGTGGGTGAAACAGGAATGAGCCATAATGCTGATCTTATTGCCCAAGGATCGCCTCAGGGTTTTGCTTCAGAACACAAGGAGAAATCTTTTTGCCCACAGGCATCGGATCTTGGAGTTGGGAAGGCCAGAGATCGTAGTGGCTTGCCGGGTGAAACTTATTTTGTTAACGGGTCTAAGCAACTTGAAGGAACAGAAGAAAGCAAGGCTGTGGTTCAAACTTCAGGTGCTCAGGACGAAGTGCGAGACGTGACAAATGATCTATCCGGACAGTTGGAGACAGCCACACCCACGAGAGTGAAATACCCAGCAAAAGGGAAAAAACAGAAGGGGAAGAATGCTCAAGGATCAGGACCATCTTCTCCTTCCTTCAATTCAACTGATTCTTCCAATGAGCCAGGTCTGGTTTCATGTATTCCCTCTACCGAAACCATACTTTCACAAATCCAATCCATGCAAGAAACAATTACTCAGGTAAACATCCATGGGTCTACTGATTGCCCTTTGCTGGTTCTGAAGTTGTAACCTAGGGATGTACATAAAATTCTAGCTGGTGTCAGCATTAGATAAACTACTTTCATCATTGCAATCTGTTTTCCCTAAGAAGGTTGGCTTTAAATCCCCTGATTGCAGGTTCTAATCAATCAAAAGGAAATCTATAAGCAGATCCCAGTCCTGCTTACAGTACCGGTTACAAAGGAAGGGCGTAGAATCGAGGCAGCCATAGGAAAGAGCATGGAGAAAGCATATAAAGCTAATTCTGATGCTCAATGGGCTCGTACCCAAGAAGAATTCTCAAAACAGGAAAAGGCAAACCGAGATCGCCATCAGCAAATTTCTGGTTTGGTTACAAATGGTTACAAGGACTTGCTTGCGACGTGGGAGAAAATGTTGAAAAAGGAAACAGCTGCCCTCGTGCCAGCTGTGGTGCGTTCAGTTACTCCTCTTATTGAGAAAGTATCGTCTACTGCTATCTCCGAGGCTTTCCAGGTTAGAACTTGTGAATTTATATTACTGTATTGCCTGATATCAGTCTAATACAAGCTTGCATACAGAGAGGGGTTGGTGATAAGGCTGTAAATCAACTGGAGAAATCGGTTCAATCTAAGCTTGAAGCTACTGTTGCTAGACAAATCCAAGCCCAGTTTCAAACTTCTGGCAAGCAAGCCCTACAGGTTTGTGCCTCAAGTCACCTTTCTGAAATCTGAACTACTCCGTGAGTTTATCCTGTATTCCAAATAGAGAACCTTTTTAGTAACAGGACTGCTGGACTTGCAGATGTTACTTTTATGGTGTCACTTGTTTGCAACTTATATTAAATGTAATTTGTAGTTGATACTTGTGCTATACTGACCTGACATCAATAATCTACTTGGTTGATGTGGGTTTCTTGTTCTCTATGAATTTTTTGAAAGAAAGCTTTTGGTCTCCTTATAGCCCCGGTTTATATAAGCATTCTGAGGCCTGCACGCCTGATCTTAAGATGATCTGACGACATGAACCTCCAATATATCTTGCAGGAAGCACTAAGGTTGAGTATGGAGGCTTCTGTTGTTCCTGCATTCGAAATGTCTTGCAAGGCCATGTTTGATCAAATTGATGCTACATTTCAAAAGGGAATGCTTGAACATACAAGTGCAGCTCAGCAGCAAGTTGAATCTACATATTCGCCTTTGGCAATTGCTTTGAGAGTAAGGAATCATAATGGCTGTTCTGCAATTTTCTTGATCAATCCGATAATTTCCACTCTTGTTACTGTTATTTGCTTTTACATTTTTGTTTACTGTTTTCCCCTTTTATTTATTTCCCTGAAGGATCTATCTTTTTTACAAGTTCATATAAATGCTGATCTTTCCAGGATGCCATCAATTCAGCATCATCCATGACTCGAACGTTAAGCAGTGAATTGGCTGATGGTCAAAGGAAATTGGTTGCTCTTGCAGTTGCTGGAGCAAATTCCAAAGGTGGAAATCCATTAATAACACAAATAAGTAACGGAACCATAGCCTGTGAGAAGGTTGGTTTCAGTCTTTATATATATGTGTATATGTGTGTGTGTGTGTGTGTATTTTCTTTTGTGACGTGATGCTCCAAAATGAGTGAGATCCTCATGTGTACCTTTTTTCTGCAACAGATCGAGGCACCAGTGGATCCAACAAAAGAGCTGTCTAGGTTGGTATATGAGCACAAATATGAGGAGGCTTTCACTGCTGCTCTGCAAAGAAGTGATGTTTGGATTGTCTCCTGGTTATGCTCTCAGGTATGTTTTGGCTGGAGTTGCACTTGGACCCACCTTGAATTTCAATCCAATCTTTGGAATGATGTGTTTAATTAATGGTGTTTGTGAGTAGGTTGATCTACAGGGGATATTAACAAGCAATCCTGTACCTCTGAGTCAAGGAGTGCTGCTGTCTTTGCTGCAGCAATTGGCTTGTGATATCGTGAACGACACATCTCGGAAGCTTGCATGGATGATGGATTTGGTGGTGGCGATCAAACCATCAGATGGGATGATCGCAATGCATGTAGGACCAATTTTTGATCAGGTGTATTCAATACTAAATCATCAGATGAGCGTTCCCAATATGTCTGTTTCTGAGGTCTCAAGCATACGTGTTGTCATGAAACTCATCAATTCCACACTAAGGACCCTGTAGCTATTTCAGTTGTTTGTACAAAAGCAAGTATTAGAAGAAGAAGAAGAAGAAACAACAATATTGTGATGGTTTTGTTTTGATGATATACAAATTTTGCAGAATTTCTTTCATCTTCTACTCTCTCCATTCATGCATTTCCTTACAGAAAGTTTGGATTCATTGATAGCCAAAAAACATGAATCATAAACAAGCCCCGATTGCTTCAATCTGTCTAACTGGAGTTGGAAGTGGATGAATAGAAAGAAGAAAGTGTTAAAAAAAGGGGCACATAATTTACATGATTTCTCTTCTCTAAAAAATCTACCAACACTGATCGGTCTCCCATCTCCGGCAGCTATAGAATTCCGAACTTCTTCCGAGTCCTCCTGATCGCCTTTCCAATCCCGTACTCAACTTCAGATCATATAACGCTCGTGTGGATGGATCAGACAAGGTGGCGTAAGCGTTATGAATATCGATAAAATCACGGTCGTCGTTCTGCTTGGAATCGGAAGCATCTGGATGGTACCGTTTCGCCAAACTCCGGTATGCAGACTTGATCTCACTCGGCGTAGCGTTTCGCTTCACTCGTAGAACATCATATAAACTCCTCGGTTTCATCTTCGTAGACTCCATCACTGGTTCTTCCACGACGGCATGAAGCGAGGCCTTAGGAACGTTACGAACGCCAATATACACTCTTGAGTTTGATCCGATTGAGGTGGCGGTAGAAAAGCAGTCGCCATTGAGGAACCGAAAAGACGTTGCTCCGGCAGAGGTAGTTAGGGTTCCGGCCATGTTGATGAAGAAGGGATTTCAGATTTGGTGAGTAGTAGGGTTTAGAAGGGGTGTTGGGTTGGGGAAGAAACTATGGAAGGTGAGATGATATTTATACTCCAACTGGGGGCGCCAACCCTTTCGCCGCTGTTTGTTTTGTAGAACACTTGTTTCAGATTCAAGATTACTATTTACACGTCAACTTACAAGTGTTAATGCATAGATTACATGTTGTTGAAGCAGTATGGTTTGGTTTTGGAAGTCTTGGGTGTGGAGAAAGGAATAACAATGTTTTGGGCATATAGTTTGGCGATCCAATTGGCTGATAACTTTGTCCTTTTTTGTCATTTAACAACGAATCATTTCATGGGAAATCGAGCTTAAATCACATGATCAGGACTATTGTTACCGACCCGACCCGGTTCATAAGATTGCGACAACCCGGTTCGTTTGAATAAAATCCACCTTCAAAATGCTAAGTAAATCCATTCCATCCAAATTTATCAAGTTTTTTTTATATATATATAATAATATATATCAGTTAATTATAATTGGTATATAAGATCATATATACGATGTATTAATTAATTGTATCTGATGTTAACTTTTTTTTCGTTCGGTACATGTTGCTATTGATTTTTACCAACTTCAACTTATATATGTATGTATGTAAGGGTTCAAAAGAAAACTCCTGTGATTTACGAAAATACGAGAACAACCTATTAATCTCATATTGTAATAACAATAAAAATTAAAAGATTTTTTTTAAATAAAAAATGAAACTAAAACAATTCAAAAAAAAATTGAGAGGCAAAAAGGTAATATTGGAATTCAAAGTGATAAAATTTTAAAAACACGATCACACTAAACCCAATAATTTGAATAACATAATGGGCTATTATGGTTATCGCTTATTTCAACATGATTTGGTGTGATTTGGGTGTGACATGGGTGTGATAATCATGTGATTATCACACAATTATCACAAGGATTCCGCTCAGCTAAGGTTAACTTAGGAAATCAACTATCGATTTGGTGTGATATGAGTGTGATAATCATGTGATATCACTATCATAATAGCGCACTCGATTTGATCATGGTTTCGATCGGTTAGGGTTAGACAATCATACATTTATCACAACGATTATTCATAATTTCGATAGGTTAGAGTTAGACAATCACACATTTATCACAACGATTATTCATGGTTTCGATAGGTTAGGATTAGACAATCACACATTTATCACAACGTTTACGGGCAAAATCCACTAAACGATTTGGTGTGATATGAGTATGATAATCATGTGATATCACTATTATAACATCACTTGCGCACTCAATGTGAGCACTCAATGTGATCATGGTTTCGATCGGTTAGAGTTAGACAATCACACATTTATCACAACGATTATTCATGGTTTTGATAGGTTAGGGTTACACTCGACTGATCATGGTTTCGATAGGTTATGGTTACACAATCACACAATTATCACAAGGGAAGAGAAGCGAATGGAAACGAACTTGCATGAAACAAAGGATAATTATAATTAATTAAAATAAAATAAAAATTATAAAATTACTTAATTATATTACCGCCCTTATTAATTGGTTTATGTTTAATATAAGTTAATTTATTAATTAAAAAAGTTTGAGGTTATTTGGTTGTTCTCGCGTTGTCGTAATTCACAGGGGTTCTCGTTTGAACCTCCACTTATATATATATATATATATATA